CTGCCACTCACATCCGACTGGCCAGAGCAAGTCACATGGCCAAGCCTGTTATCAGTGCGCAGGGAAGGAAGGCTCCCCCTTCCCCAGGAAGCATGGCAAGCCATATAGCATCAGGCGCAGATATGCCATCCTCTTTTCAGGGAGGACAGTGAATAATAGAGAATAATAATCTATCACAATCCACCTGCCAGCTTCTACGGGCTATAGTTTCCCTTTTATGTTGTCAAGATGGAAAAACTTTACATCTTCCTTTATAGCTATTATTAAGCAGTCTTCAGCGCCTTGTCTGTGGTTGCTTTTAAAAGATGAGCAGCATTTATATTATTATGACTAAGCAAATATTCTTTGCTGCGGAGTCTTGGGTGCTAAGAACCCATACTGTGCACCACAGTTCCAATGACACAGACTCTATGCGCCTCAAAGAGCCTTTTTTATATTCCATCATTTGCTCCATATCAGGCCACATTTTGATCTGCTTCATATTTGAGCTATGCCTTCCCTGAAAAATTTTTGATCAACCTGAAATCGCTCATTACCTCTCTTTTTTTATTGTTGGCGGAAGAAACATGTGTTTTCTACACCATATCCCCAATACCTTCCAAATCCTTTCTCATTCCATTTATTGTTTGGAATATTTTTATTCTTCTTTTTTGAAGTCTGTTGACCTTCTGATCTAATTGGGCATTTTGCTTCATTTTTGGATTTTAATGCTTTCCCAGAGCCTTTTGTCTTTACTGTTGTTACTAATTGCCTTCCTTTTTTTTTTTTTTTTTAACCAAATGTTTAATTTCTGGCAGTCCCAATAATACTCTTAGCTCTGTGGAATGTTCCCTTCTCACACCATTCTCAGAAAACTCTTTCTTGGGGCCTTCATCTTCCCACTCTAAAGAAGACTGACTGCTCTCAGGCCTGCTGAATGATTTTATCCTCGATTTTCATGGCTGCCCTGAATCGGATTCCGTGTTTCCTGGATCTCGTATATTCTCTCTTGGTTTACTCTCTGGTTTTACTGAAATACATACTTAAATAACTTCCTTAAAAAGGTTGAATAGGATGTAAATTTCCTGGGTCCTTGCATGCTTGGGACCACCGCACTTACATATAAAATAAAGGCATTGGACCAGATGATCTCCAATGTCTATTCCAGGAGTATAATTCTAGTCAATATTCATTCACATATACTATACTATATCAAGGAGAAATTTAAAATGGTTGCTGCTTTCAAGGAACGTACATTTACAGAGGCAAAAAATAAACTCTTGAAACAATTTAAAAAAAAAGTCAGCAATAGATGCCACAAGATAGGGCAAAAATCATCAGCAGTTTGAGCCTCGGGGCCTAGAGGAAAGACAGAAACTGAGCCATCCCATGATGCTTTTGCTATGGAAGCAAGACTTTAGTTGGATGTCAAAGGGTAGGCAGTATATTAGAGATAGACTAAATATTTATGAATATCCAACAGTCGATTTATGGCTAACATTAATCTGAAGGAATGGGTAACGGTCAAGGGAAGCTCTCCCCCCATCACTTCCCTGTTGCCATCTGAGTCACCAACATTTTCGTTGCACCAAGTCAATCAATAAAGATAAAAATTTTAAGTATGAAAGTATAATTTTGTCTGTAACCCAACAGACAAACTTTCCATCCATTCTGGGGCATAACAATTAACTTTCATCACATATGTGAAGAATTGTGTATAAACTTATAAATGCCCTGTTTTTTGGACTGTGAAGTTACTGACCATGGTCTGTATCAGCAGTGGGTCACTGAGTGAGATGACGTGGAGGACCACACTCTTGACCACCATCCGTGCTTTTTAAAGATTTATTTGCTGATTTGTTTGAGAGTATATGTACCTGTGCGCAAGGGCAGGGGGAGGGATAAAGGGAGAGGGAGAGAGAAGCCCATCTCAAGACCCTGAGATCATGACCTGAGCCAAGGAAACCAAGAGTCGAATGCTTAACCAAGTGAGCCACCCAGGCACCCCTATTGTCATCCGTTTTTAAAATTTATTTTGTATTGTTCCAATGAGGAGTCAGAGTGACCACAAATCAGAAATCCCAGGAGAGGAAACATCCTCGACAGAATGACAGCACTGTCACTTACATCGACAAGTCCCCGGGGATTGTAAGGACTGGGCTTCTCATGCTAGATGACCCTGAGACACCTGTCAGAGGAAACACATGACTGCCTTCAGCCGCCCCCCACCCCACCCACTCTGTCCCATTTGATTTGCAGATGTGGAAAAGACTTGCAGAAGAGCAAGTTTCCAAAAAAAAGAACCGATCTTGGGGCCAAAGGTCTGACCCGTTTTCGAAGAGTGGGAGTAAAATGAGGATAGCAAGGGCTTGGGGCCCTGTGGCTGACTCCCTAGGCAGGGTCTCACCTCCTACAACACCTCTGGGAGGATTTCTCTGGACCCTACGTCCTTCTAGGAAGAAGTAACTGTGCTCAAACACTCTGTTCTTGCTGCCTTGACAGCATTTATCAAATCCAAACAAAGTTTGCCTCCATGTTCCCAATAGTCTCTGACACCTGGACTGACTGACTCATCCTCACGCCCCGGCGCCTGGTAGGTAGCGGTTGCTCTGTGCTGGTTGAATGAATGAGATCACATGCATTGAAAAAAAGCTGCATTTCATCAAAGGGCAGAGCCCGACATCAATATTCAGTTTTCATGGGAGCTTCAGATAAGCCACAAGGACCTGGCAGAGCCTGGCAGAGGGGATCTAGGCCAAGGAGATGATTTCCAGGTACTGAGGCCACTCACACCGCTCATGGAGGACAAGGAAAACAAAACAATAACAACAACAAAGCCAACAGAACAAAACACACCTGCAAGTTTTGCGTGGCCTGCATTGTCACCCCAGGCTCCGCTGAAGAGAGATCCACAAGGACTCAAAGCCAAGGTCCTGGAGAGTGCCCAACACACCCAGTGGGGGGGGGGGGGTGCAGTGCTCAGCCCTGCAGAAGGGCCAGGGGCAAGAGGAACCCACCCTCCCGGGAACACTGACTCTTTGCCCAACCGCTGAGCTTTCTAGAATTTCATACTGTCCCCTCCACAGCCCAGAGTGACAGGCATCCTCGACTTACAGATGAGAAACACCACCCAGGATCAGGAGCCCCTCTCTGAGAGTGCAGAAGCGAGCTGGGGCGGGGGCGGAGCTGTACGCCTGCTGACCAGACAATGACGGGTGGCGGTGGGGGGAATTCCTGGATTCGGTCCTTGAAAATTCAGAAAACTGTACACCCTTGGCTCACCTGTTTTATTACTTCTGCATTTGCTAATTTTCCCTTTATTTTCTTCTGGCTTCTCAGAAAGGTTTCCTAGAAAAATCCCATAGGATTCTGATCTAACAAAGGGAGGTGCGAAGAGGGAAGAAAGAGCTGGATGCCGGGGGCAGAGGGGAGAGCTGGGAAAGCCAGTACAGCGTGGAGGTGGGCAGCTAGTTGTTGCCTCCTGCATCGGTCTGCCGTGGGGAGGGATCCCCTCACCCATCAGCTTGGGACGACCCCTCCCAAACGGGAACGCAATGCATAATTCTGCAAAAGACCATACGAGGTGCCGTTTACTTCACTTTTTTAAAAAAGCAGAATGAAGACCCATCCCCGACCGTGATCTTCAGGTCCCCAGAGAGACTAGGCGGTGCGTTTGTACTCCAGCAGGTGGGAATTTCTGACGCAAACTAACAACAGCTAGCTGTCCCCCGCGGCGTCTAATTGTGGGGACAGCGGCCTGGTGACACGGCCCCGGGGCGGGGGAGGGGGCGGAGGGGACAGGCTGCTGGAGTCGCCGCCAGGGGGGAGCACGGCTGCCGCCCACCTAACTTCCTGCTCAGACAGATCTGCAGGCCCGGCCCCCGCAGCCGCCCAGGGCACAAGCAGAAGCAAGCACCGAAGGGAAAGTGAACGCGTCCCGCGTGGATGGGCGTGACCTTCGCTACCCCGGCCACGCACCGCCCCAGGGAGCCGGCTGAGCGCGGGGCCGTGAGAAAGGCCATAGTAAATCAGCAAACGGCTTCCAGCTGACCTCTGTTCTTGGGAACTTGGAGCCAGGCGCTGGCAACTGGCTGGCGCGGGGGCAGGCTCTCTCCTGGCGAGGGCACAGAGGTGGCTACCGCTCTAGTCCCTCACGCACTTGGGGTGCGGGCGGGCCTCCCGGCAAGAACACCGGGTGCCAAGCAAGCAAGCCGGGAGTTGGGGGGAGGGCGCGCAGACAGAGATTTGGGGTTGGGTCAGGAGAGGGAGGGTCAGGGAAACTTCTCTCTGCAACCTTGAGCACCCCTACCTCTGTAATGGGACTCTTTTAAAATTTGGAACACTGGGAGCAACAGGGCCCCCTCCGGGCAGCCAGAGTCCCACACAGAATTATATCGGCGCGCTCCCCACTTTCTTGAGAACCAAATGGAGCTATGGGGTCACCTCTGGCCGTGAGCGATCCAAACCCACAGGCATCCAAACTGATGGAATCGCGGACACCCCGGAAGGAGGCGGAGGACACTCGCCCCCGCACGGTCCGCACCCCGCGAAGACAGGTGGGCTCGCGGGGTGTCTCCAAAGCCCTCCTGGTCCCCCTCTTCCCGAGATCGGCGGACCTCTCTAACGCCCGGGAGCTCCACGCCGCCGCGCTCCCCTGGCTGGGCCCCCAGCCCCTGAAAGAAAGGGGCTCCCGGGAGGGCGCGCGAGGGGCAGGATTCCGGGGCGTCCGGAGCGGAGCCTCGCGGGGGGCGGGGGAGCCGCCCGCTGGCCCCGGGGTCCCCGGCAAAGTTCCGGCTTTGGGGGCCGCACCACCGCGCTCACAGGTGGGAGGAGGTGAAGGGCGGGTCAGGGAGCCCGGAGCGACGCCTCCTCCCGGGCGCCCACTCCGCAAGCCTTGGCCACCAGCCCGGGGGCGCTGGGAGCGCGAGCCGGGGCGCGCGCGGGCGCCACCCGAGGGCGTCCCCCGTGCCCTCCCCGCTGGGACTCGGGGCGCTGGGGTCGCGAGCGCCGCCGCGTCTTACCCAATCCCGGCACGAAGGTGTTGAGGAAGAGGCAGATGACAGCCACCGGGAAGGGCATGTAGGGGATGGCGGCGCGCAGGGGGCCCTTCTTCTCGCGGACCTGCACCACCACCCCGCTGGACGAGGACGCGGCGCGGGGGTCCGCCGCCGCCACCGCCGCCGCCGCCGCCGCCGTCTCGGCGTCTTTGTGCGAGGGCTCCATGGCGGGGCGCGCACAGGGGCGGGTGGCGGCGGCTCTGGGCCCTGGGCTCCGCGCCGAGCTCAGGCGGCCAGCGTGCTCCGGCGCCGCGCGGCTCGCGGAAAACCCCGCACTCCCGCGTCCCCACGCGCCCGGCCCTCTGCCGCGCGCTGCGCCGCGCCCACACCCCGGCGCGGGGCGGAGGGGGCGGCGCGACACTCGGCGACAGCGCTCCGACGCCCCTCCCCGCCAGGCCCCTTCCCCGCCCTTCTCCCCGCCTCCCCCCTACAAAATGCCACTTAACGGATCCCGGCGGAGGCAGGAAAGTAGAAGAGGAACGCGGAGGGAGCTCGTGCGGTGCAGGTCCTGGGAGAGATGGACGCAGCTCGCCCCCGGGAACAGGTGAGCCGGGCGCGAGTCTCTGCCCGGGGCACCGCGAACGGGGCTGGTGTGCTCGGCGGACCCTGTCGCGAAAGCCACACAGCGCGGGGCGGAGGGATGCCAGGGGCGCACAGCGCCTGGTGCCTAGTAGGCCTTCGACTCGTTCCGATCTAAATGAATTTCGTTCCAGTCGATAATAGAGCTGAAAGCAGGAGACGCGGCTTTTCAGACAGGGTCACGACTGGTTAAGATGGGACCGTCCCCTACAGACACACACACACAGACACACACACACACACACACACACACACGGAAGGCGGTTAGAAATGCAGGATGTTGGGAACCAAAACTTCAACTGTCCTGGAGGAAAACCTGGCCTTTTGTGTGCTCGACGTGGTGGTTCAAAAGCCAGCGGGGACACAGCGCCGTCTGGTGTTGACAATGTGGCAGTTTGTAGAAGCGAGAGGGTTCACCCGCTGCTGGAGCCCCTGTACTGAATTAGGGTTTGGGGGGAATTTTTTTAAGTGGGCTCCCTGCCCAGCATTGGAGCTCAACGCAGGCTCCAACTAGGACCCTGAGGTCAAGACCTGAGCTGAGATCAGGAGTCCGAGGCTTATACAAATGAGTCACCCAGGCGCCCCTGAATTAGGGTTTTTGAATAATGCTGCCCTGACCTCTACACCTGGAAAAGTGATCGGTTGAAAGCAACCATCTCCTTCCTTAGGAAGACGTTCTGTGAGTTGGAATTACCCAGATATTAAGCGAACAGTCTGGATGATCAGAAGAAGGCAAATCCATTTCCCTCTCCATGTCCCTCCTTCTCCAGGAGTAATAGTGATTGTAAGGGTCAGAGGAAGGCTGCTGAAAGACCACAGGTTGTTATGGGTCCCTGGATAAAATAATTTTAAAAGCAGATTCTCAGCAAGGGGTACTGAAGATACTCCAGATACACACTCACTTGCACTCTCGTGTGTTGCATGTGCACACACAGTAACTAGCTCAGACCTGGCAGTCGGAGTGAACAAGACTGAAAATTTCAGTCCCGACTCTGCCACTCATTACCTGTATGACTTAGAAGAGCTCACAACCTCTTCTGGGCTCAGATTGTAACATCAAAGCAGGAAATGATACGTATTTAATGAAGGTCTAATACCGCTCTGATTCTAGGGAGAGTTAGGAAGGAATAAAACCCAGGCTCTTTCTTCAATGGTCTAATAGACTAACTGAGTCACGATGATAGAGTCAGACAGTGACAGATGGCAAGGTGCTGAGCAAATGTGGGCCTGTCCATAGAGCTGCTGCCCACTGTGAGTGTAGCAACGGCTAGAGCCAGCTGCTTGCAGGAGACCTATTTTATTTTAAACAAATGCTTCCTGGACACCTGAATGGCTCAAGTCAGTGAAGCATCTGCCTCAGGTCATGATCCCAGGGTCCTGAAATTGAGCCCCACATCAGACTCCTTGCTCATTGGGGAGCCTGCCTCTCCCTCTGCCTGTGCTCTCTCTTTTCTCTGACAAAAAATAAAATCTTCTAAAATAAATAAATAAATAAAAGAGGGGCACCTGGGTCTCAGCTGGTTGAGCAGCTGCCTTCAGCTCAGGTCATGATCCCGGGGTCCCAGGATCAAGCCCCACATCGGGCTCCCCGCTTGGCAGGGAATCTGCTTCTCCCTCTGCCTGCTTCTCCCCGTGCTTGTGCGCGCACACGCTGTCTCATTCTATCTCAAATAAATAAATAAATATCTTTTTTTTTTTTTAATTTAAAAATAAAATAAAAAATAAACACTTCTTGATCGGAGCGCTCTCTGCCAGGCACTGTTCTAAGTACTTTACACATTTTCACTCACTGAATTCTTATCACAACTCTACGGAGTATCATGGATTCCCTATTCTGCGGATGAGGGATAAGCCTGGGAGCACTGAGGGGTTGAGTAGCTTGCACACGGTCATCTGCTTGTAAATGACACAGCCAGGATTGGAATGCCGGCAATCTGGCCCCAGAATCCATACAGATAGCTGTTATTTTATTCAGAAACCCAGGAAATATCCCATATTCTATGAATATTCTCTTGCAGATCACCTGAACTATTTTAGGGCCATGCAAACACTATTCTTCCGGGGGGGGGGGAAAGATTTCAAGGAAGAAAATGGATTTACATCTCCCAATTTGCTAGATGATTCACTTAATGGTCTAGATGTCAGAAAGACATCCAGGCAGCAGCAGCACATACAAAAGCATGAAGTCTAGGAAAGTAGGGAGCATTCTAGGGATTGCCATATGCCTGGGGCTCGGCTCAGACGTGTGCGGGAGGGACAGGAGTTGGCTCTGGGGGTGGGCAGGAACCTGGCGAGGAAGGGCAAAGGAATCTGGATTTCATCCCGGTGGCCATGGGGAACCCCTGGAACATTTCCAGGAAAGGTGTGGCATGGCATGGGGGTTCCAAGGCACTATTACTCTGTAACAAACTACCCCAAAATCTCGTGGCTTGACCCAACTTTTGGGTAACACTCACAAATCCAGTAGGTCAGGAAATGTCTGGAGGCTTAGCAGGGAAGATGCAGATGGTGGTGGTTAGAGCCACTGGGGCTGAGGGTTCATTTCCAACGGGGCGCACAGGTCTGGTACTTGAGAGCTGGCTCAACCAGGCACATTTCCTAGACCTCTTTTTAGCGGGAAAAAATAACATTTTTGCTGAGATCTGCTTCCAGACTGCTCTCAGGTACTGCTTTAAGCACTTTACACATTTTCACTCATTTCGCTCCAAGAAATTTGTACACATGGATGGCTCCTGCTGACCAACACTGGCACCATGGCATCGGCAGTAGAAGGATTTGGCTCGAAGCTCTGCATCTTTGAACAATATCTTGACCTCTCTCTGTCTCAGGCTCCAAAATCAGAAATATTACCGATCTCATTTGTCTATGTGTAAGGAAGGATTAAGCGAGAGAATGTGGAAGGTGCTTGATGAACGGCAGCTGGGTGAGGAGGTTTTTCATCCCAAGTGATAGAAAGCCAACACAGGGGCACCTCAGTGGCACAGTCAGTTGGGAATCCAACTCCTGGTTTCGGCTCATGGCCTGATCTCAGGGTCATGAGATCCAGCCCTGCATTGGTTTTTGCGCTCATGTTGGTGCTACGGTGAAGGAATTCTGCAGATGTCGTGAGAGCCCCTTTGTGTTAGTCAGTGGGAGGTTGTCCTGGGTGGGCCTGGCTTCTTCAGCCAGAAGAGACACCCTGGACAGCTGCTGGGTCAACAAGCACTCTCCCTTCCCTCTGGATCTTCCTTTTCAGTGCAATGTGTGGACGCATAGCTTTGACCTTGGCATGGGGTTCCAGCCTGGTTGTGATCTTCCTACCCCAAGTACCTGCCTTGTGGACCCCAGACTTGCTGAGCCAGCCCCTATAATGAACAAATCCGTACCTCTGTCTATCTACCTGTCTGTCTGTCTATCATCTACATGATTCTGCTAGTTCTGCTTCTCTTCTCAACCCCAGCTGATACAATGGGCTCAAATTATGTCAGAGAGTCAACTAATCAACAAACACCTCTCTCTGTCTGACTCTTTCTGTGTCTCTCTCAAACTCCATCTCAGCGAGCCGGCCTCCGTGTATAGCTTCATTCTGTTGACTGGTTCTCTCTGGGTGGGGAGGAAGAGAGGCTCTGAACAGCCCAGACTCACATCTTCCCAAGTGAGCCCGGCAGAAGGACACGGCTTTCTCTCCCAGGGTCCTCTTGGATTGGTCACTGTTGCCAGGGTACTGTGGCCGAGTACTCACTTTGCCCAGGCCTGTGATGAGGGGGATTCTGGAACTGATCGCCTCCGCCAGCCTCAAGGTTTGGGTGGAAATGCAGCCAGACAGGGGCATGGGGATGCGTGCTAGACAAAAGGCTGTAGTCACCGCAATGTACTCTGAATGACAGTTAGTGAGCTTCTGGGTAACTAACCTTTCCAGTCACTGAGCTTGACCTACAGGAGCCACGTGTTTAGACTTCTTCCACGTGCTGGCCTCCACTGGTTGCCTTTCCCAGAAGTAACATACCCCTATGAAATCGTAAAGACAGAGCCCAGCCTGCTTGTCCCAACACCTCACACCACTGCTACCCAGCTGGGTGATCTTGGTCAGAGCACGTCATCTCCCTGTGCCTCCATTTACCAGTCGTGTAATGGGAATGGCCACAGCCAGCCTTCCTGCTCCAGAAGACCGGGAGTGTGGACTTAGACCACAAGTTAGAATAGGAGTGTTGTTTCCCTTCTCCTTCTGTGAACGGGACTTCTCACCCTCCTTCCCCAAACAATGGTCTGCCCTTCCCACTGCTCCCCAAGAGCCACAATGCTATAGTGTTTGCAGAGGAACATGATGAGGGAAAGAAAGTTTACAAGGCCAAGGTAAATAAGAGAAGTGACGGCATGGGTCCCGGTGCTCTCAGTGTCCCAATGAGAGGCACACGAGCCAGAGCGCTCTCCTGGACTCAGAGTGGACTATGGGCATCCTTTTGTAAATTGAATATAGTAGGCCTGAGGGTAATGTGGGCAGCAGAACAATAATCAGACCAGGCTGTCTTTATTTGGACACCAGCTGCTTACAGAGGTATTTGGAAAGCTAGTGCTCTCAGGAAGTCACCCCCACAGACACAGGTGATGGTGGCAGAGCTAACTAAGCACCCTGCAGGAAGCTGAGCTTGGGTGTGGCCCTGTCTAGGGGGGAAAGACCTGGGACCCTGGCAAGCACCGGGCCCACTGGGAAACCATCCTACCTCTTGCCCCACCCGGGCTTTAAGCACGGAGGGGAGAGTCATCACCGCA